AGAGAGAGAGAGAGAGAGAGAGAGAGAGAGAGAGAGAGAGAGAGAGAGAGACCGACAGATAGATAGAATGATAGATAGATTGTATCAAAAAACAGAAAAGAACGCCGCACAGGAAAAAGACACGAGCGCCCAGGTAATGTACTCACGTCAGTAAGATTTGCTCAAACAGCACAACGTAGTTCAGAAAGTCACTGAACTCACCCATCGTTCTGGTCACACTCTTGACGGGGTCGTCATCAAGAAAAATTCAGACACGTTTAGCAAATTTTCAGTTGTGGACAAATCATTCTCTGATCATTTCTTCGTCATGCTTGAGACGGATGTGATTAAAATAAGGCTGAAAAACATTCTGTGTCTTCAAGGAACATCCAGGGAGGGAACTGACATTAATACGTTTAAAATGGATTTGTTGAAATCTTTAGTGACCTTAAAACAATCTTTGCTGATTTGTTTTATACCAGTCCTTGACAACCACGCACCGCGTGTAACTCGTCATCGGGCGATTATATCGTATGCACCTTGACATGGTTTTGAGTTGAAGTGAAAGCGGTCAAAATTTTATGGTCAGAAAGGAAAGAGAGACAACGGCTTAGAACAGGGCTTTCCATCCACAAGCACGTTTTTATATTAAAGAAGCAGGAGATGAAATATGTAACTCAGTGTGCTAAAATGAAATGAACAATGTACTATATTTCTAAAATTGAAGATTCAAAATCGTGTAAACAACTATTCGGCATTTGTGATGAACTTTTTGGAAGGGCCAAAGAGACGCGTCTCCCGAATTCCTTTAGCGACCTAAAACTACCCAACAAATTTGCTTATTATTTCACAGAATAAGTCAGGAAACTAAAAACGTGTCTGGTTATCTATGAATCATATGGTCATTTTCATGTCTATGACGGGACGATTCTCGATAAGTATAAACCTGTTCCTGAAGACTACATTGAACCAGTAATTCTAAAATCACATAGCAAGCATTGTAATCTGGACCATGAGCCTAGTTCTCTGTTGTCTTCCTGCATTGACGAACTGATCCCATTTATTACAAAAATGTTAAACGATTCTCTTGTGTGTGGATCAGTACCATATTCGTTTAAAATTGCTCATGTTAAACCTTTGCTAAACGAAACAAAACCAAGATTGTAATGTCTTAAAGAACTATAGACCTGTTTCGAATCTACCCGTTCCGTCCAAAATCCATGAAAAGGTTGTCCTCGAGTAGCAGACCTGCCACTCTATGAAATCTAAAAATCAGGATGTTAGAGTAAAAAAAATCAGGATCTGGTTAAAAAAATCGGGATCAACGACAAATCAGTCATAAGGGGTACTGGGGAAGGGGGGTCCTGGTTTCCTTTTATGAGGAAAGTAAACAAGAGAAAACCTTTGCAGGAATAAGTTCACGTTTGGGCCACTAAATACAGGGAAAACTGAAAGACAGCATTACTCGAGTCGGAGTGGGATAGACTGGGGGACCGCAGGGTGCACTAAAGCTGAAACTCTCGTAGTCTTGAAAAAAGCTGACACATAACTCTAATCATCCACGCAAAAAGCCTGTGTTTTCATACAGTAACAACGTTTGACTTCCATCGCATATACACTCAAG